TGTTAATATAATTATTTGCTATAAATCGGTTTTATGCATATTTTGTGGAGTAAAATTTACGGAATTTTTTTTGAAGATATATGGAAAGATTGTGTAGAGATTTTTAGAAACAAATTAGGTAAGATATCGTTTGGTTAATATCTTTTATTTAAATTTTACAAAACCAAATAATAAATGTCAATGTATTTCAAAACCGTATTCTACCCTCGTATAATATAATGGAATCATTCAAACGAAAAAAAAAAAATGTCAATGACATAGACTCGTAAATAAGATGGAACTTCAGGATTTATTTGCTAAAGATACTCCAAAAATGTATATATAGATATATATGCCTCTGTATTTATGCAATATACAAAAACACATTCTCTACATGGTATCAAGAGCATAATCGATACTCTGTTTTGGCCGCCTCTTCTCTTATTTTTTTTTTCTCTTTTCTTTCAAATCTCAAATCTCAAATCTCTGTGCCTCTGTGTTCTACTTTCTTCTTTCTTCAACAATGGCCGCCACTGCTGAAACTGTTGACCCATGGATTATTCGTTGCAAATACTTTTGGACCGTTAGAATTATTGTAAAATTTTGTTAGGCTAAGGGTTTTATCCCAACAATTAGACTATACCATGCCTAGTTAGGTTTTCGTTTTAACCGGTAGATTTGTGGGTTCTTGTAAACCACCATATAACCTATCATCCCATTCAGGTAGACCAAAGGGTTCTTGCACAATTAACCTAATTGAACCAAAAACAAATGTGCAGAAAAATAAAATTTCTTTAGGCGGTTTTATCCCACCAATATTGATGAAATTGTTTTAACAAATGTGCAGAAAAACATATCATTCCACTCAGTTCCATATAAACAGAGGAAGTATTTCACAAGAATTCCATTGTCATTTTTGTATATTAACAGAGTCAGAACTCAGAAACATTAGGTACATATATACAACAAAGCCAGTGCCAGAAATCAAATCAGTAAAGCTTGTGTTATAACCTCTCACCGAGCCTAGTCCATCGGATTCAAATCCTCTGGCTCTGCTCCTTCACGGCTCTTGCAGCGGCGCTGTACCATGCCGCTGCAGCCATTGCGCCTGGATCAGGAATCGATGCAAGAATCTCAGCTGATACATAGCTTGATCTCCCGGCCTGTCCTCCAATCCCATAATCCATCACATCAAAAAAAAACAAAAAGACATACATCCAACACATTACGGTGATCTCAGTGATTGCAATTTTGTAGCGATTCACTGGGAGCGTTTAAAGCTCACCTGTGCTTGCATATGAATGGTATATTCAGCTCCCGCGGTTGCAGCTTCAGCAGACAGAACAAAAGCAGCAATAGGATCCTCCCCAACACTCAGCTTCTGCTCAAAATCAAAGTAAAGCTCATTACTACTTGACCAATATCAATCAATCTTTAATAACAAAAAGTAACCTATTGATCAGTCACCTCCTCAAGGACTTTTGACGCTGGGATGAGCGCATCTAACATCGTTCTATAACCGGCAGTTGCTCCACCATATTTACTGACAGCAGAGATTGATGACTTGAGTGCTTCAGACCCTGATTTCAAGAAGAAATCAGATTCATAGGCTAACATGTGCCTTTTGAAATAACTAACGACAATGCAAGCAACATATCTTACAATGTTTTGGAGTGGTTTCTGACTGAACGTTAGCTTTTAACTCCGCATATGCTGCCTTACAGAGGAGATTGTAACTGGTTTCATATGAGACAGTGTCATGTCTTATATCACCAAATGCATGATCAATTTTAGAGAACGAAAATTGTCAAATTAACTGCGTTGATTTACATTATTCCACTTGTTCCCCCCATGACTCTTCTAATCGATGAACCAATCTCACTCACTGTTTCAGCAGCATTGTTAAGTGGATAACTATAAAAGCGAGAAAGAGAGGGTATAAATTGCACGTAAACAATCAAGCTACACAGAGGGGAAGAAGAGGTCAAATTGTGTTCAGAGTAAAGTGACTCACTACTTCTTCATGTCCTCCAGAATAGCTGTTGCGCCTCTACACATCTATGAATAAAATTTAACGCATGCATAAATGCGAAACTTTGTGTTATACTTATTAAAACAATTGGAAAACAGGACTTACTGTTGATCCACAGTCCCCATCACCTACTTTTCCATCCCATTCGTTCAAACTATCCTTTAAATTTATGACTACAGTTACTGCTGCTTCAATAGCTGCCTCAAGAATTTTCCCTTGATGACTAAGCTCTTGAGGTCGGCCTAAAAACTAAAACAGCAGAACAAGTTAACATGATTACTTGGCAATTTCTCATGAAAGTTACAGATTATCACATCTCATTGAAACCCTTGTAAATCGACGAATTGTATTTTTATCGAACTTAACATTTACCTCTTTGTTTTTTGTTGATCGGAAGGACAGTGGAACGGGGATCTTTGCTGGTGGGCGGCTTCCTGGAAAGAGAGATCTGGCTTGAGCTCAAAAAAAAATCAAGCCTAAAGGAAATAAAATAGGAGACCACAAACACAGAACCAAATAATGATACATAATGAAGAATTTACAATCTAATACAAGTTCCAAAGGAAATATCAGAGGAACAAGAAAGACAATTTAACAAACATGTCACAGACCATCTGTGCTAGCTGGCCAACTAGGAGCCTTGGTCGGAGCATCCAAACGCTCTAAAATAGACTGGTCAGCCTTCATGATCGATATCGAGAACCCTGAGAAGGGAAGAAGTATGAGAGCAACAGCACAAAACCAGTGACTCTACATAGACACAACAAAAAAAGGTCACCTGCCATATCAAGAGACGTCATAAATGATCCAGTATACACCCTATCAACGGCAAGCCCATATTCCAGCTGTAGTTTTGGGACTGCTTTTCCAGCAGCAATCATAAGTTCCATTAGAGGGGTACCACCTAAGCTGCAGAACAACAGGAAAAATAAAAGTATTGCTTGATTAAGCAAACTCGTTATACTATAAGTGGGTATCATAGATATGATAACATTATGGTAATGGTGAAAATGAGTACAAGGATCACCTAAATAGGAAGATGGAATATACAGCCTTACCCATTAACCATCAGAACCACGCTGCTACCACGTGTAATTGGAACATAATTGGTCTCCTGCAGTTGGAAAGAATGCATAGGCCAATGAATGAAAAAACGGTACATGTATTTTATTAACAGTATCATTTTGGAGATAGTAAGTCAATAACCGTAAAATCAAGATGGTTATGGAAAGAAGAAGCAGAGAAAACAGGAATAGTGTACATACTGGACTCAGTATCTGTTGAAGAACATGGGACACTACAACTTCCACAGGTTGAATGTCGACCACAGCAGCACCAGGCTCCCCATGCTGAGAGAAGGTTCAAAAATAGCAAGCAAAAAAAGTCAAAATATAAGCAACGGACTGTGCTCTCACTTTCCTATGGCATTCAAGAAAATAAGAAGGGAAACAACATACAACTCCAAGCCCAAGTTCCATTTTCTCTGGACCTAAACGATCTGATGTAACCTGTCCTGGAAGCGCACAAACAGATAGTGCAACACCCATGGTCCCAACCATTTCAGATGCATGTTTTGCTTCCGCTGCAACTTCTGCTAGAGAAAGACCAGCAGCAGATGCTGCTCCAGCAACCTATCCTTAACAAAGGATATACAAAATATAAGTGCACAAAAGAACCTGCGACTTAGACATCACAGACAAATAAAAGAAAATATAATAACAAACAAGATGAGGACGATTGACTGCAAACGCAACTAAGAAATGCTAGCTTAGAGTGCGGATAGAGGGAAAAAAACATAGAAGGAAAATTGAGAACCTTATGGACAAGAATTGTTCCCGCTAAACCTCTGCGTCCAGCTATGCCAAGCGGCGGGGGTAGAGCACAATCGTCTCCAACAATCACAGTCTACAAAAGGGATCATGTCATCATCCTATCCACCAATGCTCTTACCAAATTCTAAACAATAAATAGACAGTTACCTCCATTTCGAAACCCTCAGTTTTTGCTTGCTCAGCTGCCAGGCCAAAGTTCAAGCGGTCACCAGTATAGTTCTATACAAAATAGTTAAAGGAGAAACTAGATCAGTCAAAGACAATGATATATACATAATAATATGTTCAGCCATGTCTTAAATACCGTGACAACCAAGAGGCATCCTTTTGGACCAGTTACAGCTCGAATCCCCTGGAATTAGACAAAGATTCATCATTTACCTGGAAAGACTCAAGAGAAGAACAAAGAAAAAGAGTTACTTACAGCTAGGATGGAATCAACAGGTGGCGAAGCAAAAACATCTCCACAAATAGCAGCTGTGAGCATTCCTTCTCCAACATAGCCAGCTTGTGCTGGTTCATGCCCACTTCCTCCTCCTGTTTCAAAAACGGCATTGCATAAACATGAAAACAAACTCAATCAAACATAAATTAGGTTTGGACAAGAAAACTCCAACCTGATATAACGGCAACCTTGTCATAATTTGCAGCTGAGATATCAGCTCTTAGTACAACTTTGATCTGTAAAATTAATCAGAATAAGCTGAGGTTTTGCACACATCCATGGAAGGAATCGTGAAAATTTGTAACCTCAGGAAGACCATCCAAATACTGAAGTCCAGGATAAGTTTCAACGAGACCCTCAATGAACTCGGTTACAACATCTGTAATGAACACAGTAACGAGTAAAAGAGCTTATGTTCGTTCTCTCTTGAAATTGATATGTAAGAGCATGCACCAACCAAAATGATAAAGAGAGCTCGAAACACAAAAGGAGACGAGGGATCACGAACCGTTGGGGTTGTTGATGAATTTTTTAGCTGGTGGAACCATGGTGTTAGCTTTCAGAGAGATCAAAATCTGGGAATAGGATTAAGGCTCACATGGAGAAACAAAGAAGAGAAAATTTGAGAGTCAACAATGGCAGAGAGAAGGCGAAGTGAAGAAACCCAACCGCTAAACCGAGATAAACCGAAAAATTATGACTTCCAGCAATTAAACCGATAAATGGAGATATTGGGCCGGAAGTGAGCACATAAAGTAAGAAAATGACTTAATTAGTAAGAAAAAGCCCAAAGGTTAGACACGTGTTCCACGCGTACGGTTCGTTCGTCTATTATTATTCTTCGTCTACTTCACACGAAATTCAAGAGAGAGAGAGAGAGAGACTCAAAGAAAGAGAGATCCAGAAGAAGACGAACAACAATGGCGTTGCAATGGCTGATTCTGACGTATGTGGTGGCCGCCGAAGTAGTAATCACCCTCGTGTTGACTCTTCCTTACCCTATGCTGCTTAAGAAACGTGTCGTACAACTTGTCTCGTTGATTCTCCAACCTGCTGCTTCCATCGTCGCTTTCGCCGGATTTCAGCTTCTCGGTAACCTCCGCTCTCTCTCTCTCTCTCTCTATCTCTCATCTAAATTATCGGAATCGAATTGGTGTTAATTAAGTTAGGGTTTTGAGCCGTGAGTGATTATGTGGCTTTGGTACCTTTGTGTGTGTTTTTGCTTATTTCGTTTTTTGATTTCATTCAGATATTTACTGGAAAGCTGAGCATAGACTATCTTGTTCATCTGAGGTATGCACTGCTACAGAACGTGATCGCTACGAGAAATCTGTAAGTACCATTCCTTTATCATCTTTGTCTTTGATTCTTCTATAGCTGAATTCTATGTGTTATGATTCTTTTTGAATAGTAAATTGTTAGGTTTGTGAGTTTCATCCTTGTCAATTTCTCCCATCTTTAGTCTAAAGATCAAGATTTGTAAGTAAAACTTTTTAGATTTGGCTTTCTTTGTTTGAGGAAGTTGCATAGATTAGATATGACTGTATCAATGATTGAACTACAGAACATTGTCTCACTTCTTAGTGTCAATGCATCTTTTTTAGGTCTCGATCACACATTGATTTACTCGTTAAACCATAGCTCTAGCTACTGTCAAATAGCAAACATGAGATCTTCTTTATTGCATTCATGGTTCAGTTTATACAATATTCTTGTGAACCTGTTATCAATTGATTCTTGGTGAATCTTCCTCACCACTCAATTGATTCTTGGTTCGCAGTTACTTTTTGTTTTGCAGTTATAAGTTGCCAGAATCAATTGCCAATACTGAAAATTAAAAGTCTCTAATATATAGTTCATCTATTGTTTCTTCTCTTACCCTGAAATGTCTCAGCTTGCGTACTAACAAGTTGTGTGTACCGCAGATCTACAAGGCTCAGAGGAATGTGGTTCTGTGCGCTGCAGGAATTCTTCTCTACTGGTAACTTCATCAGCTATTATCAGTCACTCACCGACAAGGTCTCGTGTTATTCACTGATATCTCTTGTATTCATTAACAGGTGCATCTACCGCATCTGCAAGTACAACAAGGACCTGGAACGCTTGGAGGCAACAGAGAAGAGATACAAGGAAGAGTAATAAATTTCACGAGTATAGGGAGTTGGTTCCTCAAAACCATTATTATATAAGTAAAGCTTTTTTTTATTGCATTTTTGCATTCAAATATTACTGAACCTGAACGAAACTATGAGTATCGTGAACAGCCTTGCACACTATATTGTCAGTATTCATTCCTTTCTGCATCTTTGATCTATATTTCAAGAACAGCCTCAATTTGTCTGCATGTCCAGAATTATCATCTACAGAGTACAGACGCATAACTTTGTTAACCCACTTGAAGTTGCTTCTCAACCAAACCTCTTCTTGATCATGAACTTCGTTTTGCAAAATGCAGTCACAGAAAGGTAAATGAAACGAAAATCACACATAAAAGTCATCACGAACGTATCATTACCTTAAAATGGGTATTGATAAAACTCAATTTCTCAGAAGGCAACAAATATTAGTTGGTCAGTTCACAGTTGCATATATATTACAAAGAACAAATCCCCAAACCCTCTCAAAGAATCTGGCACATCCTCACCAAACTCATAGACCATTTCAGTTCAGTACGAAGTGATACCTTGAATCTACATGACTCTCCACGTCCCAAAGGAAAGACCCAAACGTCACAGCCTCCAACACAAGCCTCTTCAATCCCTTGAAGCTGATCTTTATATGCTCGTCCTTCGAAGAGTCAATTGTGCCTTGTGGTGTTATCACAATCTCTGGCCTCCCAAACAATGCTTCTGTATGCTTCTCAATTATCCCAACCGCTTCTCTTGATCTTATTGTAGCGTATCTCTGTAGTGTCTCCCCGTCAAAAGACATAACGTATGTCTTTAACCGGGACTGCTTCATATCACTACTAAAACCACCACTCGCATTGATTCCTCCCACAAAAGAACCAACCTCTTGGTTTGAGGACACAGCCTGATAAGTCTCTTCCGCTTCTTCGTAGAAGCTTCTCTCTGTCTCTCGACCTGCTTGCTCAATGCTAGTCTCACCTTCATATGACCCACCTGGGAGAATCCTCATCGACTTCTCGAGCTGAAACCTTTGGTCAATCCGCTTCAGGAAATACCCATACATCACGGAAGCAGCATATACCTGTCCAACTCCAAGTTTGCTTATCTGCGCAACTGCTGTCAGATCATCAGTGCGGTTCTTAAGAATGATGGAAAGATGATTCTGAATCATCTCATAAACCTCAGGCGAATGAAGTCTCTCAAGTTCCCCATCTAGAGTCGGCCAAGTATCAACTCGACCAGATGGATCCGCAGACGATGAGGTTATGGATGGTACAAGTGAAACATTAGCGTCCATGAACTTCTGAACCACTAACGCATATAAAATCTCTTCCAAAGCCCTTCTTCTCTCTTTCTCCTTAACTTCAGCAATTCTCCTAAAAACCCAAGAAACTATCTGATTCACAATCCAAACCTATATAGCATCGGAAGGGTAATAATATCGGTATGTGACAAACCTGTAGAGAACAATGTCTGTTCCAGGGACAGAGGATGCATCTTTGCTCTGTTCTTCAGAGTCTCGATCGATTTGGAGCTGTTCAAGCTGCTGTTCAACAGCTGCTGGAACAAGATGAGGATGGCTCACTAATATCTGCGACAGAAACTGCCCCACCGGAGACTTCAACTGAAGTGGCGCGATTGAATCGGTTGAAGCATCGCCAGAAGCTGAAGCTTTAACCACAAAGCTTCTCCGAGATTTAGCACAAGTTGTTCCGCTTTGCAATGGTCTCGAGAATTTAAGAGAAGAGTTGTGCTACACACAGAGATACAACAGATTCAAATGACTACTTACGAGAAACTAGCCCGAAGAAACCATAAAAGTTTCATTTTTTTTTTTTTTTTTGACAAAGAATCAGAATTCTCGAATTTCATACGATTATGGGGTAGATTAAGCACAAACAAACATGATTCGGGAAAGCTAAATTGATTTCTAGGATTAAGTGGATCAAAAGCAGTAGAATAAAGAGTTGAAGACGTACTTTGAGACGAAATTGAGGTCTGGAGCCGAATCGCATGAAGCCAGGACAGTTGGGCGTTAAAAGTATCGACCTTCCGGAAGATTGACGTAGTAAGACTGAAGATTTAACCAAATTCGTTGCCATGGTGTCCATGATTAGCCTCCGAGAGAAGCAAAAATCGGAACTTTGGCCAGAGAGAAAGGAGAAAGGAAGAAGAATCCTAGGGCTAGAAACTGTAGACAAGATGACGAACAAAATTGGTGACTAATGTGGATGGTTTTCGATAATACCACTCACTTTTTTTTGGATAATTTACGGGAAAATTCTGGCACAAAAATTAATTAACAATAAAAATTTGAATCTTTTAAAATTAACGAAATATACTATTGGTCGGATTTTGACCCCCCTCCCCCCCAATATATATACAGTGTACAGTAAAAGTCAATAAATTAATAAACACGATAAATGAATAAATTTTGCTGGTTTCGGATCGGCCAAATATAAAAATTAACTAAATTCGATAAAATAATAAAATAATAATTTTTTTGAAATCGGTATCTAAAAATATAATTCTAATAATATCATAAATTAATAATAATGTAAATTTACATATATATATATATATATATATATATATATATATATATATATATATAATATTTAGTGTTTCTTAGCCAAAACTTTTTGTAAGTTTTCAAATTTTGAATATGTATAATTTTTTTTTCAATAGTCATACTGGTGTCACTGTTTATAAATTTTAATCTAGGTATATCGTTTGTATATGTGAATTCTATAATTTTTGTTATTTATGGTAAAAAAATCTGTTTTCCTTTCTACATAGTAAATGTTTAAGTCTAAAACTACAAAACTTATAAACTTTCAAAGTAATATATATTTTTTTTTCGTCATCAAGTAATAATTTTATTTAGATCAAATTGTTTTGACTCATATTTTAAAAAAAGATTTTTTTTTTTGGTAGGAAGAGGGGAGACATTGTCTCCCCAAATTTATTCATAATAAAAAGAAAAATTACAAGCGTACATTTCGCGGTCTTGTAGACCCGCTAACATCCTCTAACATAATAGAATTCACACAATCCGGCGGCGAATCGAACAAAACTTTTTATAAATTAATAAATATTAATTTACAGTATAAATTAATAATTATTAATTTACACTAATAAATTAATATTACTATAAAATAATAATATATCATGATCCCATCATTATTAATTTATAGAGATTTTACTGTACTATTGCTAGGATTGGATTTATGATTTATAATTTAACTAGATCCGGACTATATTTGTGGTTGTGTATTTATGTATAGAGTTGTTTTGTTTGTAATTTTTTTTTGTGAATAGTTGGTTTGAATTAGATTTCGGTATCAATTTTAATCAAAGTTATAGGAACATAGAGTTTAGAAGTATAAATGTCGGTGTAAAATGAAGAGAAAAATTGAATAAGTATTGGGCATTATGATTGACTAAGGGAAGTGTATATATATAAATGATAAAAGTAATTTTTTGTTTGTGTAGTAAAGAAATTAGTTGTATTTATATAAAATCTATAATGTTAAATTGAACAAATGTTATATCTTCTCATTCATAAGAGATATACAGTATTTGTTTGTAGATATAGTTATTTGGTATAGCATTTATAACCCAAATTTAAACTGGTATGGTTTCAATCCGGTTTGTGAATGTTTGAAATTAGAGGTGTCAGACGGGCCGGCCCGTGTCCATCTGGGCCGGCCCGCGATAAGCATTTAAGTTTGTGAGACTGCGATGGGCCGGCCCGTTAGGACTGCGGGCAAAAATAATATGTCCAGGCCCGCGGGCCTAGTTTTAATATTTTAAAAATAATAAAAAATAAAATTAATTTTTAAAATTTTAAATTAACAATTTTTCAATGAAATTTTTTTTAGTATTATTTATTTTGTAAATCTTATAATTTTATACATTAAATTTTGTTATATGTTCATATATTTCACATATATATTTTCAGAATTATGTAAAAATATTTATTTAATTTATATTATTTATTTATTTTTATTAAATATCTGTAGTACGCTGGCCGACTCGCAAATCCGCGGATAAAACCCGCAAAAACCCGCAATCCGTCTGGGCTTGTCCGCGAGGCCCGCTATTTTATGGACATGAAAAATTATGTCCAAGCCCACCCCGCCGTAGGCTACTTGGACAAAGTCCGCCGACTATCGCTCCGCTTGACACCTCTATTTGAAATAATAATGGTTTCACCATGAAGCTCGGACCGGAAATCGACTGTGAACTGGATCAGTCAGTTGTATTTCCTATTCAACTCGTGAGCTATCAAACTGAATAAAACAACCACCAAAAAAAGATTAAAACTTTGTGAACCAGATTGTCAAGCGGGTCAAACCCACCCGCTAAGCAGGTCCCACCTCGTATTAGAAATAATAATGGTTTCATCAATACATATTTTAAAGTTTTGACCGATCCGAGCAGTCGGATTGGGTTGACCGTTGAACCAGATAGTGGTACCTAAAATAAATATATTATGGTACCAAAAATAAATATGTACTAGAGATTGACCCGCGGAAGACCGCGGGGTGATTTTTTCCTAAATTTTTTAATTTTTAATTTCTTAAAATTATGTATTATATATAAAAATTTGAACGGTATACTACGGAACAATTTTTATTTTATACAATCTTAACTAAATTAGACTGATTCGATATGTCTAATATTATAGGTATTCCAAAATAATAAAGTAAGGATTTAACCCGTATTGAAAGGACGGGTTAATGATATTTTAAAATTTTATAATTTTGATTCAAACCGTCCCGCCATATAACTCTGCCCCGCCATATAATTTCGTCCCTTAATATAACCGTCATGTGTTAGTTTAAAATGTTGATATGTTCAAATATTCATAATATTATAAAACATTTATTGATATTGAATATATAAATTAAAAATAATTATTTTTTTAAAAATTATAAGAATTTTTTGAATTCCGATTGTTTAGTACTATTAAAAAATTTCTTCAAATTTGTTGGTATGATGACTATTTGTTTGGGCGATTTTGTGTTGATTATATAAGGCAATATATGGTAAATGTTTTTGAACTAGATTTTAACCCGCGGTACACCGCGGGTCGACTTTTTAACTAAAAAGTTTTAAATTTGAAGTTGTAATTATTTTGTTAATATTATTTGTTTTGTTTAGTGTTTAAGATTATATATTGAATTTTGATTATTATTTCTAGGATTTTAACCCGTGGTATATCTTCCGGTATTATTATCGATCTAAACCCGTCCCACCATATAACCCCGTCCCGTGAAATTAAACATCATTTTTTTTTAATAACACATTTGTTTAGAAAACATATAATTCGAGTCAATTTAAAAGTTTGCTTTTAAGTGGTTCCATAGTATAAATATTTATAATTTTTATAGTGTTCAAATATTATTAATATTATAAACTTTTTATGGAATTAAATATTATAGATACTTTAAATATTATTAATTTATACTTCTTATAAGGTTAAAATATTTATAATATTTGAAACCTTATAAATAATAATAATCTAAAGCAACATATTATTCTTTAGACATAAATAATCTTTATATATTTGGTAATAATTTTTTGGGGGTTAATCTAATTTATAAATAAACATTACTTATTGCCAAAATGAGTTTGGTTTAAAATAAGTAATATAGCCAAATGAGTTTGTCAAATAACGAATAGTAACCATAATTTAACTAATCTACATTAAAATAAATATATTTAGAAAATGATTTACTCAAAAAATTGATAAATATAGATTAATCTATAAAGGTTATTTTATCTCATGATTTTTTCATTTGATGGTAAACCACTAAATATTCTTTAGTAAACAAACCAAAGAAAATTTTCAAATCAATACTAAGAGCATCTCCAAATCAATATTAAGAAGCTACAACGGATTATGGTTAACCCTGCAAATATTTTCACACTCAAACATGAACCAATATACCAAAACAATAAAAATCAGAATCATTTCCTCATTTGTCCAAACACAAAAACATGTAGATTAAGGTAACGTAGAAGGACCAGTTTCCGAATACACTGGGAAGCTCCTCAATTCAACGTGAGGCTATCAAACATAAAGCCATAGAAAGATGAAAGTGAGTGATTTATCAAAAAAAAAAAGAGATGTAAGTGATTCAAATCAAAGAAGAATAGGAAGAACCTTAGTCCAAGACATGTAGAAAATGAAGCAAATGATTTGCAGAGCTGAGGGACGGCGAGAGTGGAACCATGCACATTGATTTGATGACTAAATAACCTCACTTATATATAGAGAATAAGTAGTCCATTGATTTAGGTCTTGTTATGATACAATATTAACAAAAAAAAAAGATTTGATGAGTAATTGTTATCTTTAAGTTATATATTTACGTAATTATTTTCCTAAAAAGTCTACAACAGTTATTAGGTTCTGTAATTGTTTTAGGAAATTATTTATTTTGCAATACATTTATCGTTAGAAAGTTTTTAAAATAAAAGGAAATTATTGTTTTTATTTATTATTGCAATTAATGATGGATCTTTAATTATGAGAAATCATACCAAATATATTTGAAGATTACAGTAAATCACGGAATAGTTATTATCGAGATTTTTAAAGTAATTAGTTGGAGGAGATTTGAGGAACGATCTTTAGAATAATATCTTTAATTAATTTTTTTAAATCTTAAGAATTAACTCCAATGGCATTGTTTGCCCTCTTTAAATCTTAAATCTTAAGAGTCCATTTTTAAGTTTGCACTCTTTTAATTTTTAATGACCATTTTACCCTTATTTGAAGCAAAATTAGGTCCACAAAATACAAAATATTTTTTGGTGGGAAAAGTGATCCCGCAAATTTTTAGCGGGAAACGTGACCCCGCAATTTTTCCGCCAAATTTTTTTTTTTGCGGGAAAAGTGATTCCGCAGTTTTTTTGGCGGAAAAAATTTACAAGGTATTTTAAAGGTTTTACAGAGTATTTACAAGTGTTTTGTAAGGTTTTTACAATGTATATTAAAAGGTCTTTGGAAAGGAGCTCCTAACTCGGCTAGAGGAGCTAAGGTTGCTTGGGACTCAGTGTGTACTCCTAAGAATTGCGGTGGTCTTGGTCTGCGGAGGCTGGTGCCATGGAACAAGCTACTTGGACTGAAGCTGATATGGCTTATTATCATTATGGGTCTCATGGGTTAGGAGAAACCTAATTGGACAGCAGTGCTTCTGGGATTTGGATTGCTCTAACTCTGGCAGTTGGATATGGAAGAGTATTTGCAAGCTAAGATCTTTAGCTAGGCCTTTCATCGTGTGTGAGGTCAACTCTGGTATTACTTGCAACTTCTGGTCTGACAATTGGACTAGTTTAGGTCCTCTAATTGATATTACTGGTGATATGGGTCCACGGGTTTCTGGCCTAAGTCGGATTGCGGTTGTAGCTGATGCGATTATTAATGGTGAATGGTGGTTATCTCGTAGTAGAAGCAGAAACAATATCATTCAGTTGCTTAAAGCATGTCTTCCTCCTTCATCTGTGGTGATTGTTCATGAAGAGGATGTTAATGATGATACGTATTTGTGGAAAGTCGGAGAAAGTGAAGCCTCAAGTGTGTTTACATCTGCAAAGGTATGGGATTTCTTGAACCCTCCTGGTACTACTGTGGATTGGTTTGATGCAGTGTGGTTCAAGGGAAACATTCCCAAACATGCTTTTATTTGTTGGCTGGCAACTCGTCATAGGCTTCACACTAGGGATAGGCTCCTTAATTGGGGTCTTGTGGTTCCTTCGGTGTGTCTCCTATGCAATACTCATGATGAGTCAAGACAGCACCTCCTCTTTGATTGTGCATTTGCTGATGAAGTATGGTCGTTCTTCACCTCCAAGGCCCGTGTTTCGCCCCCGAACATGTTTGAAGATGCTGTCATTTGGTTGAAGTCTTCCTCTAGGGACGAGAATATAGCTCTCATTCTTAAGCTGGCCTTCCATGCCTCAATCTACCTAATCTGGAAGGAACGTAATTCTAGGCTCCACGGTGGCTCTCCTAGACTGCCTGTTGCTCTAATTCTCGAGGCCAAAAGCCTCATCCGGTGTCGCCTTGATCCGCTCTCTAGGAAGCAGAGGATCTTGCCTCATGGCCTATCTTATCTAGCTTCTTGGTTTGGAGTTTTCCAAACTTAATGTGATCCTTTGTATTTGTTTCTTTCCTGTATTGTAGGTGTTACTCTCATAGGAGGCACTTTGTTTATGTGTAGATTTCCAGCTTCTAGATCTACTTTGAATGTTAAGTTGAAGTTTAAAAAAAAAAAATATATATATATATATATATATATATATATAAAGGTTTTACAAAGTACTTATTAGGTTTTATAAGGTATTTATAACTTGTAAAACTTTATAAAAAACTTGTAAAATCTTATAACTTGTAAAACCTTATAAAATAGCTTGTAAAATCTTATAAATACCTTATAAATACGTTGTAAAACCTTTTAAAATACATTGTAAAACCTTATAAATACCCTTTAAAACCTTTAAAATACCTTGTAAAATGTTCCCGACAAAAAATTTTCCCGCCAAAAATTATTGCGGAATCACTTTTCCCGCAAAAAAATTTTTTGGCGGAAAAAATTTTTGGCTGGAAAATTTTTTGCGGGTACATTTTACAAGGTATTTTAAAGGTTTTACAAGTTTTTACAAAATCAAATTTTTAATTTTGATGTGTGCACATTCTCGTGTTTTCCTTATATATTTGTGATGTCTTTTACTAAAAGAAGGGTAATTTAGTCATTTTGTACATAAAAAGGGTATTTTTAAAAATGGACAGCTAAATGGGGCATTTTTGAAAAGGGGTATTAAAAAGGAGCATTTTTGTGAGTCTCCCAAAAATTAATGTTAGTGGCATTATATTGTAAATAAGTGCCAATTCCAGGATTTATTTCAAAAATGTCTCCAAAAATGTATATATAGATTAGAAATTGAATTACTAAAAAATTTGATAAATTAAACGACATGAAATTAAAGCAATTCTTCTACAAACATAAATTTACCTACATCAAATAACACACATCAAGATACTGGAATGCTATTTTCTGAAAATATATTTATCTATGAAAAAAAAATTTGTTTTTCCTTCTACATATTAAATGTTTAAGTCGAAAACTACAAAACTTATAACATTCAAAGTAATAATTTTATTTAGATCAAATTGTTTTAACTCATATTTTCAAAAAAGATTTTAACAACTAAAAAAAAATCTTTTCATAAATTAATAAATTAATATTACTATAAATTAATAATATATCATGGTCCCAACTTCCAATATTATTAATTTATAGAGGTTTTACTGTACTATTGTTAGGATTGGATTTATGATTTACAATTTAATTTTTATGTAATTTAAAACATCTTAATAAAAAAAATATATACATACTTTTTTTTAATATAAAAATTTAAATTAATTTTCGTAATTTGTTTAATTTTCTGAAGTTGGGTCATATTAACTCTTTCTTTGCTCTCATGGCCCATTAAGTGGGCTTATAGACCACTCAAGAAAACATATATAGTCCAGCAAACGACCCATCAAGACAATTAGGGTTTTCATTTTGCTCACGTCTCTCGCCTTAATCAGTGTTAAGAAGAATATCGTCCCGTCGTCTCTCTGAATCTCTGCTTTTCGTGAAAAGAAAAGGTTTTTTTCGGGACAGAGATGAGAAAGACTCAGCTATTTGTTGAAAATGAAATATCTGTGAAGCGAAAAACCTTTTTTTTTATTCAACAAACAACTGAGCTTCCTCATCTCTGTCACAATAAGAGATCTATGGACAGAATCTGCAAATTTTTAAAATAAGTGTAAAGGTTTTTCGTTTTTTTTTTTAACGGTGGCGATGATGAAAAAAAGGCCGGACTTACGGCTGCTACCACCGCTAAATGTGGTGGGTAGTAGAATGATGCTAAAGTTTCCCAAAGGTTACATAGCTGAGCCTCCTCTTCTTTCTCATTCTAAATCAGAACCAATAACGCTTCTGTTTCCAAAATTTATACCGACTTTTTAAACAATTGCCTTTAGAAAATAGTATATGAATTATTTTGGTTTTTTTTTAATCAAAAAATTAGACAAATTGATTGCTTTGACCAGGTCTGTGTATTAAGCAATTTGGATTTAGGGAAATTTGCAAAACTAACGCAAAAAAAAACTATAATTAAGAAAGTAACACCAAAAAAAAAGAAGGTTAATATTCTCTATATTTTGTGTATTAATCTCAATTTTGCCCTGTGTGTGAGTTGCACGCTCTTCTCTCTTCTCTCTTCTCTCTTTTCTCTTCTCTCTTCTGTGTAACACCCTAAGTTGCATGGAATCAGAAGCGGGTGCGGGGAAGCGAAGCGTTTGGAAACGTGGAAGCGATTTTTTCAAAAATTTATGATATGAGTACGTTTTGGAAGCGTGTAATATATATATATATATATATATATATATATATATATATATATATATATATATATATATAATCAAATGTGATTAAATAACTCAAATGTGATTAAATAACTCTTGTCTTAAATAAAAGAGATCCAATACTTAATTAAGTTGATTAGAGATTAAAAAAAAAACATAACGCATAAGTCAAAGATTTGGACCATCGTCTTCCTTTTCATTTTCATCACCATTAGCAAACACTCTCAACAACTCACTTAACGCTTAGTTATACTTGGACATTATAATTACTTCTACAAATGGGCTTTAGTTAGACCCATTAGACAACACCTTTCTTCTGTTGGATCACACCTTAACCACTTAGGCCCACTCCATCTCTTAACTCAAAACACATCTTCTTTTTACGTTGACTCCTTCTTCTTCTTTAGTTGACCTCTCTTCTTCTTCAACCATGACAACTTCTTCTTCTTGTTCTACTTCAGAACTTCCTTGTTCTTCATCATCACTAACCTAGCTTTCTCTTTTGCAGGGCCAATCAAATGGGTCAATCCCAACAAGAGTTTTGCCAAAGACAAAATTTAGCCACGATTGGTATTCTCTTGTTTAGTAAACTGTAATTAGGGTTTTCTAATTTCATATTTAATTAAGAAATACAAAATATATATCACGCTTCCTAAATATTTCCTTAATAACGATTCCAAAATCAGAATCGCATAAAAATAGAACGCTTCCTAAACGGAATCATAGCTTCCAAAACGCTTCCGATTTCCTTTTTTTCGGAATCGCGCTTCCACCACGCTTCCGGGCGCTTCCTGAAGCTTCCGATTCCGTTTTAGCTTCCGAAGCGGGAATCGGACTACGGACGGAGCTTCCGTGCTTCCTAGGTAACACCACACCTCTTCTCTCTATGCCGAGTGAAGTCCCGACGTGACTTTTTAGGTTTGGCGCCGACCTCTTTGCTTGTTTTTGTTTTCCGATTTCAGTCCCTTAATTGCTTTTCGGTGAGATTCATTTTAGGTTCTAGGTTTTGCTTTTTTTGTGTTCCTCTGGGAAATCGAAATCGAGGCCCCAATTTTGACATCAAGATGCATCTGTGGTTTGAAATGAGTTCATCACTATTTACGGCTTATGGCTTCTTTTCCTCGTCTCTTCTTAGCTTCTCTAGCTCAGTCTCTCCTGCTCTTCATCGTCACAGCTCATCTCTCTCCTCGCCTCCATTATTCTCCCCAAGTCCCAGGTTCCCAGCTCCTGCTCTTTCTCATTTTTTTCGTTTTCCTTGGAGGGTTCCTGGTAAATCGGTTAGATTATAAGAAGTTAGCTTCGTATTCTTGGGTTCGGTGCTTCAGCTTGAGTTATTGAAATTGCCAAGCTCTCTAATTTCATGTTAAGCTCCCCAAAATCACATAGAACATTCACCGAGAAAATTGCCTTTCTACGTCAACGAGAATCTCAACATCTTCTGCAATGGTAATGGTTTTCAATTTCAATGAGATAAATAAGACGAAGAAGACTTCATTGGACTTGGCTTGGGACAGATCCTCTCACTTCTATGTACGAATTAGTGCCTTTACATCCTCTAAGCTCGCCAGAAATTTGTGTTATCGCCAACTAGAAACATATTAATAATGTAAGTGGTACTTAATCAAAACAAATAGTACAATATAAGTATATATAGTACAACGTAAATAGTATAGTCCACACAAACATTACTTCTGTATTTTGTGAAGTTTGTTTGGCTTATTATCTTAGATTTTGTTGTATTATATAGATTATAGAACACAAATTAGTCTATTTTATTTTTGTTGGTAGAAACCATATGAAATAGCAAAATAATATGTGTGTTTTAGTATGATTGAAAGATTTTTAATAATTTGATATAGAAATACAAAATAGAATGTTTTTGTTCTATACTATTTCATTTTATGTGTTCTATGTAGACAAACGATCAAAGGAGCTCTTTTAACCATTAATTCGATCACCAAAACCTAACCCACCATAACCCTAATCTTCTCCTTTACCACCACTCTCGGATGCCTTTTGTTGACGCAAGCGAAGCCCCCACAACCACAAGTACACAACGTCCCAAATTTTTTTTTTTTTACATACGTAAAACCAACGTCCCAATTTACGATACAAACGATGCATAGCATATATGCCAATTTTATTCCTCCTTCAGCTTTTCCTTTATTAATATTTTTGAGTTGAGGTGCTAGTAAAATTGTTAGGCTACAAAAATGCATCCACGTCACTCTCTTCTACATTGGTTTCACGCGCGTCCGACTACAACAAATGAGAAGGACAAACTAGACTTTTCAGCGACCAATTGTGTTACTTACTTCATTTCTCAGATTATGGTGCTATAAATTTAATTATTTTTACAAAATAATTTGGATTTGAGTGAAAAAAAAAAAAAAAAAAAAAAAAAAAAGTGAAAAGGTTTGTTATACGCCCATAACCCACAAGTCCCAGGATCGAAACCTGGCTCTGCTATACTTTTTCTAATTTTACTGTATATAACTGGTTTAGTTTGGTTCTGATCGGACCAATTGACTCGGTTAATCAAAACCGAAAGTTCGAAAATGACGAAAAAAAAAACAAAACAAAACAATGAAGAGATGTATTTGGTGGGCAGGTGTTAAAGGAGACACAGGCTAGTTTGCCACTGAACCGGAAATGTTAATCCCGACTGCCATTTTGGAGTCTGAATGCCACCTCACAATAGGATAATACTTCTTTACCCTTAATGAATATCAATATCCTTTAATTGAATTAATTTGAAAAGGAAAAAAAAACAATTGAAATCGAGAAATGAATTCTCGATCCAATCTCGAATCTGTGTTTTCCCTTCCCCCGACATTGTTGAAGCGAAGACACAGAGCCATGGTTGCTTGGAGATCTGCGGTATCGATGGCGATTGATCAAGGTAGGGAAGAGAGAAGACTGTGTATGTTCTCGGTCGAAGACATTGGAGGTAGAAGAAGAAGATGTTCACGGTGATTTGATTCATCGGATGATGTTGGTTTCAAGATTTCGAAATCGTTAAGCTGTTAGTTAATTAATATCTATCTCTCGGTGACAAGAAGATTTGTGTTATTGCGAGTAGACAAAAGAACTCGCAGGTTACAAAGTTTATCAAGAATGGTATGTGGTGGAGGTCTTTCACCGGCAATATTGTTTACTGATTCAAGGAATGCATGAGTTCAAGCAATTAGGCTCAAGCGATGAAATCAGAGATTCAAAGATTATTCAAGAAAGAAGAGGTTTGAGGCTGCTGCAGAACACTAGATCAAAGGGAAAATTTACTATCGGTGTTGATGATATCTAGATGCTGAATGATGGAGATTATTCATTGGTAATGTTGAAGCGTCTGTTACAAGAATTTGTGAGTTAAAGGACGTGACTCATGGTTACAAAGATCAACGTTGGATTAACAATTCTCAAGGGCCAATTCTTGAAGACTTATAGTCTGTTTCCGCTGAAATCACAAGGTACAATGTGATGTTCTCTTTGAAGGTTTCCGGATACTCGATGTTTATATATTCAAGGATTAGAGTATAATGAAGCTCAAGGTTTTGAACACTGATTCTGCAAATGGATAGCCAAGATTAGTAATGGCTTCAGGCTGTATGATTTGTTAATCAAATCTGGTTGTTAAAGTTAGATATTTGCAGTGTTCAAGTATGGTTTAAAGATCAGCCATTGGATTAAGATTCTTGATATTGGGGGACGCCTTAGTTTAAGGAATCTTATGTGTGTTAGTGGTTGGTTAAAATTTATTGAAGCTTTGTTGTTGATAAGCGTCAGTGGCACATTGTTGTTGGAGTAAAGGTGGAGTCTTAGAGAGACTGTTGAAACATAATGGTTTCGGTTTTAACAACAGATGTGAATGAAATATGTTATTATGAGTTAGTGAAAGCTCATAAACATAAAGCAAAAGAAGAGTGATCAAGTCATTTGAAAATGAGTTAAGTTCAGCCGTATAAAGATATGTTGAAGCATTGGAAGCTTGTGTGCACAATATTCAGCTGTGTGCTGGAACAAGAGACTCAATGTGGTAAAAACAACATGAATTTGTTTGAAAAGATTGCGAAAATATTGAAGGAAACTCAGGTCAGAGTCTTCATAGGCAGTCTCAAAGTATATTTTCTGAAGATGACAAGAAATTAATGTGCTCTTGCTAGAACTGGTGGTGAGATCAGTGGTAAAAGAAACCAAGTAATTGAAGACGGTTTCAGGCTCTAATGCATACTATTAGTTCAACTAGGTACATCAAATTTGTATTTTTTATTAAATTATTAAGTTATAAATTAAGATTTATATAAGAAATTCCCTAATAGAACCAAATGCATTGCTCCTGTGGAAGATACATGATTATTAATTAAAAGAATTCTTGATGACTAAAAATCCTTTGTATTTGTCGTACAACCATGTTCGACTGGGTACAACTAGGTTCGACTAGTACAACTAAGACCATAAGTATACTGAGTACAACTAAAACCATAACTATAACCATATATGTATAAATATATGTACTTGTCGTATTCGTACAACAATGTTCAACTGGATATAATTAGGTTTTGACAAGGTACAACTAAGATCATAAATGTATTTGTATGTGTATTTAACAAATATGAAAAACGATAAATTAGAGTTAACAAGGACTCCAAAAACATGTGGAACAATAAAGAAACAATTTTAAATAAATAAAACTCGAATTTATCATTTTCTTAGTGCATACTATTGTTTTCATATAAAATACTCTTTATAGTACAAGGAACACTTTATAGGTGATCACTTCTTTTAATGCAAAATAGGTGAAAATTATGATTTCTTACAAATTATATTATGAAAACCTCTTAAATGATAATTAATAGTGTAACATCATGTGTCCAACTTAAAATTACTAATTTTTATTAAAGTCCAACTAGAAATACACAAAAATCGCTAAAGTCCAACTATGAATATGAGAGTACAACTGGACAACTAGGTACAACTATGTTTAAAACAAAACAATTTTTTATTTACGTGGCCCACTTTACCACGTGTGATGATTTTAAATAACTATCCCGCCGCCAAAAATCATGCTTACGTGGGTCATATTTAATTTTTATTTTTTTATTTTTTTTTTATTTCGTTTAAATTTATTTTATTATCAATTTTAATTAATTTTTAATTTTTTAAAAAGATTATTTTTAATTGTCTCAGTTGTACCTAAATGATCTAGTTGTACTTTCTTATAAGTAACCCATACACGTAGTTGTACCTAAATAGACCAGTTGTACCTACAAAACCAATTGAACATAAATATAATCTAAATATTTTTTTGGTTTACAAAAATATGAAGTCATTTGTTCTTAATCCACAACACAACAAAATACAGAAATGAAATACAAAAACATAAGTCATGTGAAATCTTAATCCACAAGTACGTGCAGACTTGACTTGTGCGCTTTCTTTCCAGTTCTTGATCAAGCTCTTCTTTCCAGTCAATGCCTTTTTGCATCTACCCAAATCAAGCAAAAAGTATTACACCTAGTTCTATCATCTAAACTCTCCTTGCCTTCTAGAAATCTCTTCAATCAATTTATGCATTCCACAACACAAACCTTGGCGCAGGAGGATCTCCCAACACCAAATCATCATTCAAACCACTATTAAACTCTCCACAAAACTCTTTAGTTCTTCATTTTATTGAACCAAATGATGTAGACTCCTTGTACATAATCCATATCTGAATTCAGAAACAAAAATCAACAAGTAAAGATACAAACAAGTACACATTCATCAAAAACATGAAAAATGTGTGAGCGGTATAAGGAGAGAATAATTCTAAGGTTTATGTCAAACTAAAGCTACAAATCTGATTAGAAAAAACATAGCTATCCATACAAAAAAAAAACTATTTAAAAGGATCAAAATCAAACCAAGCCTAACAAACCTCTAAACAAGCTATCCATACCAAAAAAAACTGACAAAACAGAAGCTACACACACATACCATGTCTCCAGACAAAAAAAGTATGATCATTTATGCTTGCAAATTTCTAACCATCAATTTATAATTCAATCCCACAACTTACAAATCGATTTGTTGAATATCTCAAACCTATGAATCATTGACCCAAAGCTTGTTCATTTTATCCTCTAGATCAAAGCAATGGCAAAGTAAAACCAAACAATTTTCTTAAATCTCAATGCAAGAGAACCATAATCCTCATCAACATTCATTAAGCAAGCCCGACATGGATTCTTAAAACATGAGAAACAACGGACATTAAATTCTATCTAATTGGCATGACCATGAGTGCACAATGCCAAGTAAGAACGCATACCTCATTTTTCAGATCACCTTCCATAGAATATGTAGGTTGATTGGATCTTCCACCATACCTAGAGCTTGAGGATCTGATAGATGATCTAGAAGCCCGAATTGGAACAAGAGAAGGTGCACCAATATCTCATGGAGAAGCAGAAGGCATTACATGTGAAGAAGGACATGGTAATAAATCTCGTTGTTAATCTTTTCACGTCGTTGCAACTAATAAAACCAAATTACAAATATTAAAATTCAAACACAACACACAAGTTGAACGTGGTGTATCTAGAATCAAAGCCTCACTTTTTCAATAATCAAACAAAGATACATCACTAAATAATCAAATCCTGGGATCCAAATCAAAAAGTCACGCACAATTGTCTCGAAATTCAGATCGGGAACTTACTCTTTCTCAATGACGGCAACATTCGTCGAGGCCAGCTCCGGGAGGCTGCTGCTGCTGACGCATGCGACGCTTCGTGAGGAGACTATCCCTTTTTCCATTACAATTACATTTTCCGTTTCTCTGGGAGGTTCTTCTGTTTCTAGCCCATCTCTTCCTTCTGTTTCGTCTATGGACGCTTCCCCTGAACCATTCAAGCCACCAACTCCTTATGTTGGATCAGTCTCTCGCTCAGCCTCTCGGGCCAACTCGGTCTTATCGATTGTAGTTTCTTTCGGAGTTTCTTTTTCACTCTCGGAATCCTCTTCCATGTCGGCGGTACCTTTCCGACTCTCAATCTTCGATGCATATGTTGGTGGGTCTATCAGATCAACTTCCATCTCCGCGGTTCCTTTTGGAGTCTCAAACTCCGAAACATTTGTTGGTGGTTCTTCTCCGACAGTTTCTTCTCTCCGACGCCTCTCCGTCGACTCGTATACCAAACCATCACCGTCTTTAACACGAGCCATTACTACCGTCGACATGATTCTCAAAGGATTACTATCGGGGGACGAACACTCCGTTAATTTCACTCCCACGGCGATGAACTCGACGAAACAACACTCCCACGGCGACGAACTCGACGAAATTTCACTTCGATTCCACGAATTCGAGAAGATTTTTGTTGATTTTCGATTTGGGAAAAAATGAGAAATTAGGGATTTGATTTGATTTTTGAGTAAAGGGGAAAAAAGGAGAAACTCAAAAAACGATCTAGTTTCGAAATCTCGTTTTCTAATTAAATGGTTTTGGGTCGGATGGGCTTGGATCTAGATAGATTTGTTGGGTCGCATGGGTTTTTGGTCTTTTCATAATTTTCTGATTTAAATTGCTTTATTTTTAATTCTCTCATAAATAAAAATTAGATGGGTGGCATTCCAGCATTTTTTTCTCTCAAAAGTGGCTTTCCAGCCATTGTTTCGTGTTAAAGCCTGGGTTTAAACTGTTGTGAAGAAGAAAGAACAGAAAAACCCTAAGCGAAAATGGAATCGAAAGCAATTTGCTTAGGGTTTCTTCCTCCAAGACTTGGATTTTCATCTCCACATTTACTCTCCCGTTCTCCTGTAAGTGAACTTAACCATCAAAATTTCATTTTTTTCCCATTTCGATTCTTCTAAAACCTTATCCGATTTTTTTCAATTTTCTCCAGGGTTCTTCGACTTTTGCAACGCGTCAGAAACTTGATTCCAGACGTAAGTATCTATCTAATTCCTCTTGATTCAGCCAAATTGTAGCATAAAGAGTGATCCTTTCTCTTATTTTCATTCTTGATTAAGAAACCCTCCGTTGGAACAAACCGCAATTGAGCCGAGGTCATGTAGCGTGTTCTTCTAACTCTGAATCAAAGCAATCGGGTAAGAGTAACTATGCTCGAGCGGAGCTGTTCCGTGGGAAATCAGGTTCTGTTTCTTTCAATGGCCTGACTCATCAGCTGGTTGAAGAAAGTAAACTGGTTTCAGCTCCGTTTCAAGAAGAGAAAGGTTCTTTCTTGTGGGTTTTGGCTCCTGTTGTGTTGATTTCCTCATTGATTCTTCCTCAGTTCTTTCTTAGTGGTGCCATTGAAGCTTCTTTCAAAAACGACACTGTTGCTGGTAGGTCAAGTTTTACTACTGCTTTAATGTTTAACATCGGATTATGAGAATCCTAGGAACTAAATAGAGTAGAAGCTATCTTAGTGATGTTACATGTGCTAATTGATTATGTTCTAGTGTAGGCTTCTCTTAAAGTGTATTTGGCTTTGAGGTTTTGATAGGTTTAGAATCTGTTTCCTGATGTGCAATGATAGAATCCATTTATTGATCTTGAATAATTGATTACAATCAAGAACACATGACCTGAGCCTAAGAAAGAAGCGGAAAGTTTCTTTGAGATTTGTTCTCGAGATCTCATAACTATCCTAAAGATAAGAGGCTTCGCACATGATCCAGCTCTTATTTATATGATACTCATTTTGATGCACTCTCTTATTATAATTTCTTAATGCAGAAATTGTTACTTCTTTTTGCTTTGAGACGGTGTTTTATGCTGGTCTTGCCATATTCCTGTCTGTGACCGACCGAGTGCAGAGGCCGTACTTAGACTTCAGCTCCAAGAGATGGGGTCTGATCACTGGCCTGAGGGGATATCTTACGTCTGCATTTCTCACGATGGGTTTGAAAGTTGTAGTTCCCGTATTTGCTGTATACATGACTTGGCCAGCTCTCGGAATAGATGCGTTGATTGCAGTGCTTCCTTTCTTAGTTGGATGTGCAGTTCAACGAGTTTTCGAGGCTCGGCTTGAAAGACGCGGCTCATCCTGTTGGCCCATTGTTCCAATAGTCTTTGAGGTAAACTTATATACTGATTTTGACAATTTTGGTCTTAAGTTTGTCTGCCCATCTTCTTGTAGTCCATGATGTTGTAGTCCTGTTTTGAGTAACTATGGTTTGTGTATGTAATGGCAGGTGTATAGGCTGTATCAAGTGACAAGAGCAGCGACTTTTGTTCAGAGGCTGATGTTTATGATGAAAGATGCGGCAACAACTGCAGAAATTACAGAGCGAGGAGTTGCATTAGTTGGTTTGGTTGTGACTTTGCAGTTTCTAGCTGTTATGTGTCTCTGGTCGTTTATCACTTTTCTTATGCGCCTCTTTCCTTCTAGACCTGTAGGTGAAAACTACTAAAATCTCAGTGTTTAGTGACTGTTAGATGTAGCCAAATCCCATCAGGTTTTGTTTTGTTTCTGTGTTCATTTCAGGAGTAATGAGTTGTTGTATTTAGTGACTTTGAGAGTTTATTGTTCTTGAGATATGAAATTGGCTGGAAATGTTATAGAACGATCCTACTTGATGAAATCTTATTGGGGACTTTTGTGACCCTTATCAAAAAGTTTCAGTGTTTGAAATCAAAACATAAGTACACAACAGTAGATGGCTTTGGTCTCTCCTTGTGTTTTGGATATTTTGTATACAACAAAAGAGAAGTTGAAAGCTTTACCACGTGGAAGATCGGTGCCTCTGATAGGTGTCTTTAACAGTGTGACGTGTCTGTATTGTTTCATTGATGAATCTGTTACACTGTTGAGTGATTGACTCTGAAATAAAATGGTTTCAAAGCTTTTTATAATTTTATCAGTATGTGGTGTTTATTAATGGAGGATACTTGTATGCCATTGTACTATAACTGATCAACGATTATTCTTGGGAAAACAATAAAATAGGATCTCAAGAGAATTAGCCGCTTCTATAAAAATAGTGAGAGTGACTGAGATCAATAGAACCAATCTCAGAATCGTCTTCTTTCTCTTTTGGAACAGAAATGACGTCTCCACTCTCAGATCTCCTAAACCTTGATCTTTCAGACACCAAGAAAATCATCGCTGAATACATATGGTTCGATCTCTAATCATCTCTTTTTCGCTTAATCTATAGAAAGCTTGTTTAAAATTCGATGCATGTCATATAGTTTCTTGATTTTACACACTTGTGATCTTGCATGTCTCTCTAAACAACATTGTTTTGTTCTGTTTTTGCTCTGCTTTTTTTCATGAGAACAGGATTGGTGGCTCTGGAATGGATATTAGAAGCAAAGCCAGGGTAATAATAATATCACATTAATTTCTCTCTCTCTCTCTCTCTTTTTTTTTTTTTTGTATAATAAGAACCAAACAAAAAATTGAAATTTTCTTTGTTAACAGACATTACCAGGACCAGTAAGTGATCCAACAAAGCTTCCAAAATGGAACTACGATGGATCTAGCACCGATCAAGCCGCTGGAGATGACAGTGAAGTCATTCTTTAGTAATCTTCTTCATCACCTATTCACAATATTTAAGTAAAATGATATCATAATTATCTTAAATATAATTTCATTTTTTTGGAATGAATGAAAAAACAGTCCTCAGGCAATATTCAAGGACCCATTCAGGAAGGGGAACAACATTCTGGTTAGCTCATATGATTTTTTAGCAAAATATGTATCTGTTTTCTTGATTAGTGGATCTTTCAAATCATTGTTCTTGAATATAATAAATCAGGTGATGTGTGATGCTTACACACCGGCCGGAGATCCAATTCCGACCAACAATAGGAACAAGGCCGTCAAAATCTTCGATCATCCCAATGTGAAAGCTGAAGAGCCTTGGTAAGCTTATATATATAGCCTATATAAAAAAATTCAATGAACTATAACCGAATTTGTTTCAGTTTGGTATGGTGTAGGACAAAAATACCATAGTTTGACCAATTCAAAAGATATTTTTGTAACATATGCATAGTTCAGAATCTGTTTTCTTTAAAAAGTTTAATTCAAAATATTTATTTGTAACATATGCATTGTTTAAAATATGTTAAAAAGTTGTTTAACATATGCATTGTTTAGGAATAGATTTCAGTTTGGTTGATTCAGTCTAGGACTCAGTTTGATAGTTTGATGTGTTATATATTAGGTTTGGGATAGAGCAAGAATACACATTACTTAAAAAAGACGTGAAGTGGCCATTAGGTTGGCCTCTTGGTGGCTTTCCTGGTCCTCAGGTAAACTTATGAGTCAATTCTTTATCAAAATTCATACACTAACTCTTCTACCAAGAACAAGTTTCTTATCTCGAAAATATCACTTTTTGTATGTTTTGATGAAACAGGGTCCGTACTATTGTGCAGTTGGTGCAGACAAAGCCTTTGGTCGTGACATTGTCGATGCTCACTATAAAGCTTGTCTTTACTCCGGTTTGAGTATTGGTGGTGCCAATGGTGAAGTCATGCCTGGACAATGGGAGTTTCAAATCAGTCCTACTGTTGGTATTGGTGCCGGTGATCAATTATGGGTTGCTCGTTACATTCTTGAGGTAAGAAACCCGTAGATTGACCTATGTCTCTTGTATATTATTACTCTATGTCCTATTTCATTTCCATTGTGTTCATTGTGTATATGACAGAGGATCACTGAGATATGCGGTGTGATTGTCTCATTCGACCCAAAACCAATCCAGGTTTCTTGTGATGATCAAGGCTATGTTTTTTTGTAGCTATAACTTGAGAATTTTCTTGAATGTTATATTTGTTGAGGTTGTTATCTATGGTGATTAATTAATTAGGGTGATTGGAATGGAGCAGCAGCTCATACGAACTTCAGTACAAAATCGATGAGGAAAGATGGAGGATTGGATTTGATTAAAGAAGCAATAAAGAAGCTTGAAGTGAAACACAAACAACACATTGCGGCTTATGGTGAAGGCAACGAGAGGCGTCTCACTGGGAAGCATGAAACTGCAGATATCAACACTTTCTCTTGGGTACGTATGAAACCAAATCAAATAGTTACATTTTGGTCAATGATCTCTATGTAACTTTTATCCCTCTGAGTGTAGGGAGTGGCGAATCGTGGAGCATCGGTGAGGGTAGGAAGAGATACGGAGAAAGAAGGGAAAGGGTATTTTGAAGATCGAAGGCCTTCGTCTAATATGGACCCTTACTTAGTTACCTCCATGATTGCTGAAACCACCATCCTCTAAGGTTTTTGTTTCTTTGTATCTTCTTCGAATTTCAGTTTGATATGGTTTAATTTCGGTTTTGAGACTTTTATTGCGAATAAGTTGAATGTTATGCGATTTTGATTGTTTAATCCGGTTATGGTTCATTTTTAAGCCAAAACTAATCGTTGAACTTGAATAATTTGTGACCACCATCCTCGGCTAAGCTTTTTGGTTACATTTGAAGTCGCTCAGTGAAGGGGGTTTGCATTGTACCATAGCATCCATATCTATATCTATATATATTTGAGAAGTGTTTTTGCTGACGTGTCGGACTCTCGGCTCTTGTTGAGTCCTTGATTTTACGTAATTACTTAATTACCCTTAATGAAATCTAATTAATTTTGGAAAAATTAAATTGAATTTCGGAATTAACCAGGAAAAAATAATTTTGGAAACAATAAACATAATAATTAACCAAAAAAAAAAAAGGAACAACGAAGTACCAGTTAGGAAGCTTTAATTGAATTCATCGTGTTCTTCGTCGTGTGAATATAATTCTTCTAAACGAAGGCAAAACTTGAAATCCTAACATAAAGCATATATTCATAGCAATAACAGAGATCTAATAATTTAGTGATAGAATTTCACCTGTTGATCTGTCGAAGCAGAATAGTCAAGCTTCTCATAGTATCTTGCCCATGTTATGTCTTTAAGACGTCAATACTATCCTGCACCCTATAATTCTAACCAATGAAAAGAACAAATATTTATTACCTTGGATACAGAGTTGACGAAGAAACCTTGGATAAAAACTCGACGAAGAAATTTGTAAGTGTTAATGTATGATGAAGCTTCCATGAACGTGAATTCGTGATCATAATGAAGAAACGTGTGAATGGAGACGGTTGATGGTTTTTTTTTTTTTTTTTTTTTTTTTACCTTTTGTGTAAACAGATCTGTTTCATAATTTATCGGAAAAGGAATTATACAAAAAAAAAAAATCGGAAAAGGAAAATATTTATTATAATATTGATATATTTAAGATGATAATGTCAAATATCCGAAAATTATTAATCGGAGCATTAATATAAAAATAAAAAAATACTATTCTAACCTTACTCAAATTAATAAGATTTATATATCCGAAATTAATCGTAAACGGCTATTAATTGTTAAACTAATTAAAATAAAGATCAAACGTACCGGAATAGATGAAATTTTTGGTATGATCGTCGTGTTCGTCGTCGTTTCAATCTAAATATTTGGAAAAAAAAACGAACAAAAAAAATAATATGTAGATCAATGAAAGAGAACCCACCAATTTAGAAACGGTTATCACGCCATCGTATTGTTCGTCGGATGATTATAAGTCTCTAATCCGGAGATTGACTTGAATCCTGACAAAAACATATATTCATAGCATAAAATCGTAAATAGAAGGTAGAAGACCACCTATTAATCGGTTGTAACCTTGTGCAAACTCGATTTAATTTTGACGAATGAAATGTTGGTGTGGTGTCAAAACTTTCTTGGGGAGACTCGAAGATGAGAGAGCTGAAGTCAGAGATAGGCAGAGAGGTTTACATGTGAATTAAGGTATGGAGTGCTAACGTGAACATGAACGTGAACGGCGGTGATTTTTGCACATAATAGCAATTAGATCGAGTTTTGGAAAAAAATATGGATCAGCGTGACATGACGCATATGGATACCATGCATGTCTATCTATTGTAAATCAAAAATTATATTATTGTTCCGCCTTATTTTTGAAACAGAAAGGAATTTTCCCTTAAATTTTAATATATTTTATAAGATAGTATCAGATATAGTAGTAAATCTAAAATAGTTGTTATTATTCCATATTTTTACGGAAAAAAAGTAAATATTATTTTAAATAAACATAGATAACAATGAATAAATGGCAGTTTTACAAATATTTATTATTATGAGTGATTTGCTTATTAAAATATGTAAATTTTTTTTTTTTTTTTTTTTGTATTTATCGTCGAAAAATTTAGAAACCCTAAATCATGCACCGCCTCCTATTCAATATAAATACCTTGCTCATGGTATTCAATTTCAGATCATAACTAATCCTTGTTTTTTTTGTTCTTTTTTTTCAAACTTTTTTTTGCTTCTACCTAATTTTAATTTTTCTTTTTATTGTAGGGTGGATGTATGGAGGGGACGATGTGAACTGGTGTATGGAAAATTTGGACCTAATTCAATGAATAAACAGGTGATCTTATAGTTTATATGTACAAATTTGATTTTTTTTTTTTTTTTGTATTTATGGTTTCACTATTTTCACCACTAATCAATTTTTATAATCAAAAAGTTTGGTTTCAACTTTTGAGAAGGTAATCATCGATGGTTTAGTATGTTTCTTTTTGTTGTAAAAAGATGAGGTACCTC